AGTAACTAAGCTGTATTTGGGTCTAAAAAAATATGAAATTCCTAGCAGACTAAAGACACAACCTACCTCCTTGAAATCTTGGTTTGAAAGTATAAGATTGTGTCCTAACACATGAAAATGGTTGAGAAAGCTATTAGGGGGACATTCTGAGCTTTTAATTGGTTATTTACACATCATATATTGAAGTAAATGTACATAAGGGACCGTTTCCAAAAATGGAAGGAGGTGAGCTGGGCCACTGTGTTTGATTCAGAACATAAGTGATATCTCAGCAAATAGAAAAGATATGAGGTTCATATTTTATATTCTAGCTAGTTAATATTGGTAATTTGAGTTCCTTATTCATACGAAACAACAGACTTAGTATTTTGCCATCACAAACATCTAATCTAAACTAATGCTACATTCAACATACCACGTGACACACAAAAATCAATGTTTAACTGTACTTTTTAATATTTACTTTTAAATTAAGAAATTAAATAATGTATAATACTAAAATTTGAATTATAATCTACAATTTGATACCAAACTTATTGACATAAATTCATGAAATAGAAGTTCAATAAAATTTTGAATGTGAGTCAACAAACAAGATGACATGGCCTTTGATCCGTGACCCACCTGGAGAAGGTTAAGATGTCTTCTGTTGGTATCCTACAATAAATAGCTTCAACATCTTTCACCATGCTTTTCTTTTCCTTCCATCTTGTGCACACACAACGAAATGTTTCAATATTTCTCAACATTAAAGAAATTACTAAACATTCCAGCACCCTTCTTTTCCATATATCAAACACTAACAAACTTTTTAAGGAATTCACAGAACACATAATATATGAATACACTTTTATGACTCCTCCCATTTATTTATGAAGAAAATTCTGGATTAATACATAATAAGTTCTAGAGAGAGAGAGAGAGAGAATAAAACTAATCAGGTATTTTAAGCATTTCAAATTACCTGATTTTTAAGTCTCTTCAGGTAATTAAGAATACTGTAACTAAGACAGTTCTCCATGTTTTCTGGTACCAAGCTAGGGGCTCCCATTCGTTGCAATGCCCTCTTTAGTGGCTAAGAATAATTTAACCAATAAATACACATTTGTTACTCATATTAGAAAACAACAGCAAATAAACCAAATTATTAAATTTTTAATATTGCTAAATAAAAAAAAATTTCTTAAATTATGCATTGGACATATTACTCAATTCCAAAGTACAGATTGTTCAAATGGTTTTAAATTTATATGCAATTTATGAACCTGTTGCAAAGCAATATACAGTAAAAAACAAAGGATAAAACAACAGTAAAATGCAATAAAAACTAATAATGAATGAAAAGAACTGCAAATCTTAATTACTTAAAACAAAATAAATGATAATAAACATTAGCATAGTCCTAATAAGCAGAAAAATACAACTTACAGCTGCATAATAAAGAGGCATGTTTTTTAAATAGCTTTCAAAATTCTGTTTCCATTCCTTAGGAGCCTTACATCTGTGAACTTTGAAAAATTCATCTAAGAAACAGGAAAAAATATTTTATCTTGACATTTCAACACCTAGGCTTGCAAATCAAAGAACAAAATACCAATTAAAAAATGAAATAACTAAGGAAGGTTTTTACAGCCAAATTTAATGTCTCTTTGAAATAAATTTAATAGAAGCCCATGAAAAACAATACAGAAAATTTATCTTAGTAATTCAGACATTTCAACTTCACTATCCACAAAGTTTTGCTTAAAAAATATACCTGTGGAAAACAAGTCCATTGTAGTTACTGCAAGTAATTTATGAATTCAAATACATAATTTTATGTTATGTGCATTTGTTGTTCCTAATGAAAAAATTAGTAAGAAAGAAAAATTTGACTTAAAAACAGAAAATATTTATGACAATAATTATCAATAATATACACACACACCAGTCAAAGACAAAGTATTAAATAAGTGCTTAAAAAATAGGAAACAAAATATTATAGATAATCTTATACCACTAATATAAATAAACTCGCAATAAACCTGACTAATTTATATCTTGTATATTGATTTTTACAAATAGTGCTGGTATTTTTACCATTAAATATTTTTACAATAATTAATACAATTTTGTAAGTGCCAAGTATAATGTAATGAAATCCTGATTTCAAAAACTAGTTTACACACACACACATAAAAAGTAATATCGCAATAAATGTTTCTTCTTACCTAATAAGGGGAGAAGAGTGGGATAGTTATATGGCAGAACAAAGAGGTTGACACATGTCAGCGTGGTACTGGCTTTCAGATAACCAAAAGAGTGACCAAGCTCACTGCTTTTGTGACTGCCACTTACATAAACCTGAAAAGGCCAAAGTCAAAAGTCAAAATAAAACAGGCTAAGATAACTTTATTACCACTAATTTTCACATTCATACATATGTTGCCAAAACCTCGACTATGATAGGTAATACAGACTGAAAATTTAGTAATACCTAAAGTTAATAAATCTGTAAAGTAATCATACTTACTAACCACTAAGTTAAAACATGTTTGAATTTAACATTTTGAACTTGGCATGTTAAAAAACAAATATGTTCCAATTCAGTGAATTACATTAATGTTTTACTTTTGAAAATCAACTTAAAAAAATTACATTTGTTAAATATAACTTGTATCATACAGATATTTACTTTTTGCATTATATGAAGATCTTGTACAAAATTATTTATAAAAAATAGGAAAAAAAGGCACTCAGTATCTGAATACTTGATTACCCATTATAAAACAATATGGTGAATTAAAGCATTCCAAAATAAGATGTTTGTTTAACACTACAACAGATATTAATACAGTAATGGTTTATTTGACATTAGGCAATAACTGTCATATTTGTATATATAAATGTTACTATTTGAGTCCATTTTCTAATAATAATAATAAGCATTGCTAACCTGCCATGCAACAGTTGGCTGTTTTCTGGAGAGTATGTACTGAGTTAAAGGACTGGGTTCAAGTTCATATTTATCAAATGGCAGGTTGTCAATCACCATTGGTTCTGAATTTGTACATGTAAACTTGAAGACTGGATGAGCTGTCCTTGGAGGCTGAAGGAAACAATTAGAAAGATCAATACTGCATTAATGATCATATTGTTTCATGTGTATGAAACTGATGTTTAATATAAACATTCCAACAGTGTTATAATTGGTTATCAGGGTTCTTATTCTTGGTTAAAAACAATTTTCTGGGATATTCCTTCCACTTTTTATGACATTTTATAGCTTTGCATCACCCCTCATACCTACACCATCTTCACACCATTTCATTTTTTAAAATTATATTTAACTAACAACATTTAAATTAAATGGTTAACTTTATCAAATGAGATAATGCATTTCATAAAGCCACAGTTTTCCATGACTTTTTCATGCCTAAAATTATTCAAATAGCTGATTGAATTAAAAAATTTAACAACAGTTTCTTTGCATTAATCACAATTAAAAAAACCTAAGTTCAATGGAATAGCTCTTTAAGCTTTACATAACTGACTTTATAGTAGTATTACTGAAACAAATCTATTCAATAAACTTTCAGGATCTTATCAACATGCAACACAATGCATTTAGAAGTAAAAGATGTTACTTTGATAATTCTTAAAAAGTAAAATAAAAACAAAATGAGATAAATTAATTTGATAATAGTTTCAATGCTACCTTGCTTAACATGGTTATAAACATAGGGAATATGTGGGAAAAGATACACACATGTTATATTTGTTTTG